CATGCTTAAAAATAATTTTTATTCAAAATAGGTTTTATAAAGAGAAAAAACTGGCTCACGCAATAATTAAATAGCCCAATTTATTGAAACTATAAGTACTATTCACACTACTGATATTTGCACTTAATTGTAATGATGTTACTGTGAGAAATACAACACCATAATCGAACATACGAATAAATCAAACACAACATCAAGAATATACTCCACTGACATAAGTACATACATAAGATTCTGACTGCGGTTACGCTATAGTCAGTATAGCTCTAACACAAACAATCAGTACCTAATCTTGTTCCTGTTTATCTCTGTTTGAGTAACGTATTTAAAAAAATATGTAATGAAAACATCTACTCACCTGGGTACATACATAAGATTCTGACTGCGGTTACGCTATAGTCAGTATAGCTCTAACACAAACAATCAGTACCTAATCTTGTTCCTGTTTATCTCTGTTTGAGTAACGTATTTGAAGAAATATGTAATAAAAACATCTACTCACCTGAGATTGTCTATATATATTGACAAATGTTCAATTGGAACTAATGAGCTATTGACAATATCCAGAAAACCAGAGCCATGTCAGTGAACCCCTGTGAAACGACAATCGTCTACTAGGTATTCATCCAGAACTAATGCTGCTATTCTGCCGACCATCTTTGTAACTCAAATATTTATGTAAGGTATGTAGGATACAGACTCTGTAACAGACATACTTACAGATTCTGTTAATTTAACAGATAATGGTATTCGGTCAAACTCTCAACCCCATGTCCGAATTTACGCCTGTCCTCTTACTGAAAAATGATAGATGACTAACTTCAAAGCTACTCATTAAGCTCACATTTCAGGGTTGGTCTTGATAGATTCAAAATAAAATGGATATTTCAGAATGGTATTCATCTATATGAAGATTTATTATAACATCCATATTATTACCTACATAAGTAATTTAACAATTACAGTGAGAAAATCGAGTCCATAGGAATGTTACATACTATGTAATGTCATTTTATAGAAATATATCGAAATCGCACAGGCAGAATACCGATTTCCTTACATTCTATAAATATGGAATTATACATAGTCTACAGGAACTGTACTGGTGCAGAATAGCAGCATAAGATGTTTCTTCAATGGAAGGTAGATTTGAAATTTTCATTCGATTCCAACATAGAGTCAATGTTCAGCTATCTCACTATGAATTGATATCAAACTGAATTCCATATCACCCGACAAGTTCAATTATGAATCCTTGTTCTGGAGAATGTCGAATCACTCAGGGTGGTGTTCTAATATGGAAGGAGAGAATCCCCAGTTAGGATATGTGCTGACGTTCACCTGTGCCCCCTGTGGATTCCCTGAATTTAATCATCAGCACATAGATCAGCACCATCACGTGAGGTGTATCCAAACGCTAACTTGATGTGTGCGATATACCGCTGCATTCTGGATACTATTCGGCATACCCCGAGGGAGATTGCAAAAACTTTTAATTAAAATTGTACACGGTTGTGTTTTCGAAATATGCTTTGTTGGATTGGTCATGTTTGCCTTTTCGGTAGTCCCATTTTTCAGGTGTGTTTTCCACCTCATTCCCCTCTGTCTGGTGTTTGGCTGCTGAAACGAATATTCCTTCTGGTTATTTATTTATTTATTTATTTACCAATTCGGGTTTTCAACAGGTTGAACTAACAACCCAATAACAGAAAACCGCATATTACATTTTTCCATAAATTCATGAAATATCGGTACGATATATCGTAGATTAATGAACTTAATAGATATCAATGTTCAGAAAAAGCAATCTGAAATTAAAAATAATAATAATAACGTAATAATGATAATAGTAACAAAAATAATCATAACAATAACAACAATAATGATAATAATAATAATAATAATAATAATAATGATTAATAATAATAATAATAATAATAATAATAATTATGATTAATAATAATAAAAATAATAATAATAATAATAATAATGATAATAACATTAATAATACTAATGACATGCTTATAATTTGAGTCTTGATATGTGGATATGAATATCACCTGAATACTGAATAAGCAGCATGTTTAACTACTGAAAGTGATCCATGAAATATATCAATATGACAAAAAAACAGATCATACAACCTCTGTATAGCAGTTATTGGAGAGTTCTCTGACGCATTCGTTCTATATCTTTGAGGATAAAACAGATTCGGAGATCGTAAGGAACGTCTACCAACATTGAAATTCAATTTACCCAAGATACTTGGACAGTTAATGAAACCAGACACCAGTTTTTGCAAGAAAATTATGAAGCTAACAGTTCTTCTAGAAGATAGTTTGAACATATTATATTCTACAATATTGTAGTCATACGAATTGTAATGATTCATTCTGTTGAATCTAAAATTTAAGTACTTAATAAATTTGATTTGAACTCTCTCAACTCTCTCAATATATTTTACATAATGTGGATTCCAAATTATTGATGCATATTCGAGATGAGAGCGAACAAGACAGTTGTACAGTAATATCAAACATTTTTGAGATCGAAATTGCCTAGTTACCCTCATTATAAAACCCAAATTCCGCAAAGCTTTCTTAACGATATGTTCAATGTGTATGTCAAAACAGAGTTTTTTGTCCAAGTGTACCCCTAGATCCTTAATATTTGGAACATTTTTCAGATTCTGGTTTCCAATGCAATAATTGTAGTCCAATTCACTATGCAGTCTAGAGAAGGATATTTTCATACACTTGCTTACATTTAATGAAAGGTAATTTGTTGTACAATAGTCAGTCAATCTAGTAATATCCTCCTGTAGTTTTTGACAATCAGATATGGATTGAACTGGTTTATATATTTTGAGATCGTCAGCATATAGACTAAAATTGGAATTTTCAAAGCATGTGGTAATGTCATTGATGAAAATTAGGAATAATAGTGGACCCAGATGTGACCCTTGTGGAACACCTGAAGTAACTTCAACAAATGGTGATCTGGAGTTCCCAACTTGGACACATTGCTTTCGATAATTGAGATATGAAATGATTATTTTGAGCAGATTACCATGTACACCGATCTTTCTCAGCTTAACAATGAGTGTTTCATGATGAACTTTATCGAATGCTTTAGATAGATCGGTATAGACAGCATCAATTTGCTCATGTCGATCCATGCAATCATAAACATCTTGAATGAAAGGAGCTAAATTAGTTACAGTAGACCGTCCGGAGAAGAAGCCATGTTGTTGTTCAATTATCACATGCTTTATACCGTGAAAAAGAAAATTCTTGATTATTGCTTCGAATAATTTACCAAATATGGACAATAATGAAATAGGACGATAGTTGCATACTTCCCGTTTATTTCCACCTTTGTGAATTGGTATTACTTTGGCTTGTTTCCAATAAGTTGGGTAAGTTCCTTCAGACAAACATTTATTGAATAGAAGACAAAGAGGAATTAATAGCGACAGCTTACATTTTTTTATAAATATAACAGGAATTCCGTCCAACCCAGGACTCTTATCAAGTTTTAATTTATCAATTTCTTCTTCAATATGTTTTTGAGTAATTTTATCCAAAGTAATTGTATTATTATTATCTTGGTATGAGTTAAGGTTTATGCGAACGGGTCTTCCAGCAGGCTCATACACTGATGCGAAGTATTCGGAAAATGCCTCGCAAATGTTATCATCGCTAGTGATTTCCTGCCCATCGAGGATCAATGAATCAGGAATATTTTTACGGTTGGTTTTGCTGGAAATGAAACCCCAAAATTGTTTGACTTCACCGATCATATTTTCCTCAACCTTTTCAATATAACTCTTATAATCACCCTTGATAGATGTTTTCACGGATTTTCTCAGGTTAGAAAAAGATGTATAATATGCCGGGTTTTTATATTTTTTCCATTTGGAATGTAATTTTTCTTTTTCTCTGATCAAGGAAATGGTATTTCTTGAATACCAAACTGGAAACCCAGCATTGACTTTCTTAAGTGGAACATTTCTATTGATTAGGTGTCCAATTCTATCATAGAATATTTTTAAACAATCATCAGCCATCTGAGACGAAAACAGTTCAGACCAGGCAATATTCGCAATATCATTATTTAACCGCTCATAATCCGCTGCATAGAATTTGTGTTTATCATATGACTGTTTTTTTCCATACCTCGGAATGTTTTGCAAATTTATAGAAATTTCCACTGATCTATGATGACGATCTTCACCAACAAAAGGGATATCACTTGCGATTACTTCAACATCAGGAAGATTACAGAAAACTAGGTCCAATAACTTACCCGAGCTATTGGTTATACCATTACTTTGGTTAAAATTGAGCAGACTGTAAACATCAACGAGGCTTCCCTTCCCACCTGCTGCTACTACATTTGATGCATTATAACACTTTTTATTGAAATCATAATTCCACAACAGTTCTGGGATATTATAATCTCCAACAATTAATATTATATCATTTGGGTGATATTCAGAGATTCTGGTAACATTATCTAAATGGCACATATAATTATTCTCAGTTGCATAGGGTGGCATATAGACACAACAAATAATTAAATTTCTGTTATTCACCAATTTCACAGAAACCCATAACTCTTCATAAATCTGCCCCGTACACCATTCTGGATGCTCGCACGATATGAAATTACTCTTAACTGCAATCATACAGCCGCCCCCATCAGTTTTGCCAGTTAACTGCAAATCTCTGTCTTTTCTATAAACGCTGTAAAAGGAGGCATCACACACCTCGGCACTAGTGACATGCTGTTGAAGACGGGTTTCGGTAATACAAATTAAATCCATTGATGACGATGATGAGGAGATAAAAAATTCATCTAATTTTGTCCTTAGACCATTTACATTTTGGTAATACATGGAGAGCGCCATTGTAACAGAAATTAGATGGTGTGAAGATTATGAGTGTGCTTCCAGAACATGATTACTGCAATTTATCTAGGATTGTAGCATCCTTTACCATAACTACATTTCCTGAATTTGGGTTCCTGATGTATATTTTACAATCTCTGGTCCAATATTGGAATTTTTTGACACGGCAAATATCTCTCACTCTCTTATACAGCACTTTATTTTTTGGCGTTAAGTGATCATTAATGAATATTGGCGTCTTATCGGATCCGGAACCAAGACCAATATCGCGGCCATCCAGGCCCTTTCTGGCACGAATGGCTGTTATGATAGAGTCTTTAATCATTTTCGAACTAGCTTTGACTATTATTCCACGTGGTCTTTTATCATTCTTATCCATATGGGGAATTCTATGACAAGACTCAATCGAATTATCCTTAGGCAGACCCAATACTTCCAGAATACCATTGACAATAACTTCAACATTCTCAGAATTTTTTTCTGGGACTCCTTGAATTTCTAGGTTGTTCATACGGAGTTGCTGCTGAAGATGGTCCATTTCATTCCTCATTAGATCGAAGTCAGTTTGAATATCGCTCACTTTGGATTGTAATTGGGGAATAACGCTAAGTCGTTGCTCGAACTTCAGGAGCTTTTCATTGAAATCATCAATCTTATTTCCATAAAACTGAAGGGAATCAGTTACTTCTCTTTGTTGGGTTTTCAAAACTGTCATGTCATTCTGAACGGAAGTTAACTTCGACAAAATGATATCCAGTTGTTTGCTTCCACCCGATGTTGCAGTCATGGCACAGTCTGAACAGTTCCACAATAATCCAGGTATGGGTTTATCCGGGAAATTAGGGATGTTCAAGCACTTGATGTGGAATATTTTTGAGCACCCTGTACAGGCCACACTTGGGTTGTGGCGTGTCAGAACAGAGCTATTGCAAATCTCACAAGTGTCCGGCATGGCTGCAAAAACTTGGCGGTGACAAAAAATCTCACAAAATGTGATCGACTGCTGTATGTACGTATTGGGTGACCTTGACTACGAATGGTAGCCAAATAAATCCATATAATCTGGATTTGAAATTCAGTTCGCAAAGCACGATTTTCAAAGAAAAATTAGTAATAGATCAACTTTTCACACAATGTCAGCGAAAATAACTTTCGTATTTTCCGATGAATGCTGTTGAATGTTTTGCAAAATGATAAAAAAAACACTAAAACACGGATATCAACACCTGTCCTAATTAACACGACCGACCGCACCGACAGATCGCAGCGGACATTATGGATATGCTATCAATGATATCAGATATGTTTAATGGAAATCAGTGAGTATTGTTCATTACCTTTCAAGTTACTTGCTTGTTTGTGCAATTAGTGAGGCCGGAGTTTTGTTATACCTATAGTTAAAAGGGAATAATGATTTTCATTGTTGGAGATGTTATTGGATAAAAGTTAGTTACGGTTATACCGAGTTTTTTTATCTCTTGAAGCGCAAGAAAGGAAATTCCTATATAATGTTCGAAAAACATCGTGCGTTTCTGGGAAGGATAAGGAGAGGAGGTAGGTGTTGGATTTTTTTTAACTATTGGAGGTTATAATCTCTTGGGCATACTTCAATAATTGGCAAAGAATTCCAAAGCTTTGCCGTTTTATAGACGAACGAGTTTTGGTAAAATGTTGTTCGACATCTTTCATGGTTGACAATGAAAAGATGTGCTGACTGGGCCTGTCGAGTTCATTTAACTGGTATTGCTAGTGATGGAATTATAGCAGAGATTTTTGAGGAACATTCCGCGTGAAAGTATCTATGAAAAAAGTGGAAAGTCACCGACTTCTCTACAATGTTCTAATGAAGACATAGGATTAGTGAGTGTGGCATCACCCATCAGGCGAATGGATCTTCTCTGGATGGATTGTAGGAGCATTCAGCGTATGTTTGGGTGCTGAAAACCATATGTGAGAACAGTATTCTGGGATTCTCCAGAGCTGTGCTTTGTAAATCATCAGAAGCTGTTGGGGCGTAAAGTAGCTTTTCACACGGAACAAAAATCTGAGATCTTGTGAGACAGCTTCAGCTATGGATCGGACATGATTCTCTCATGAAAGATTATTGCTGATGGAAATACCATATACATATTGTGGTACCAGACATTGTCATATCAGGCATACTGATTTCCGCTTTTCCAAAGAAAATATAGGTGCTATACGACAGATATAGTTGAAAGGAAATAGTAATTTGCATCTCAATGTTAGGAAGATACTATTCTGATGTTTCTGAAGGAAAAAAAGTGAGTTACGGTTAGAGAATCTTCAGTAATTGCTATTCCTTGAGAGGAATTTTGTCTGAAAATGGTAGGTGTCCTAATGGTTAAATTAATTTTCATGAACAACTCATTACATAGGGTTTCTTCTCTTCCAGGGTTGAATATTTCACGTGATTTTTTGTAATAATAGGCTACACCAAACGTAAACTGACCTTTCGATGAGACCAAGCAGATGTTGACGAAGAGAGAATCAATGCCGATGTGGGCATGACTGTTGTAATTTGTACCATATGGATCTCATTTGGAGATAATATCATATGTTCCAAAGATTAATCACAATATGTTTATTTCGTCGATGCTGCCCAGGTATAACGAAGTAGAAGGAGGTATTTTCTCTTCATAATCAGATGAGAAATGTTTCATTTTCATTAGCTTCGAATATTAAATGAAAATATTGGGACCAGAATACTTGCAAAAACATTTGGCACTCTCGAATGATGAGTGTAGTAAATCAGCAAAAAATCGAGTAATAGTGAGAGAAACCCTAAATATTATTTCAATACCCTAATAATGAATTTCTTTCCAATTTTTTCTCCCTTATCCCTATGGTAATGTTGAAGTATCGTCTGGAATTTCAGAGCAGATTTGCTATCGAAGTGGAAGAGATGTATGACTGTTACACTATGCTGGAGTATTCAGGTCGAGCAAATATTCATTCGCATAATACTACTAGTAGTATAATTCACCACTTGTGGTATTCAGTTTGATTATTCAACATCAAGATCATGGATGATATTTCGACAAAAAGAAGGTAAGAAGGTGCAAGGCAAACTCGTTTGCAAACTTCAGTTACTTCAGAGGAGAGAAAATACCAAAAATTCAGAGAAAGAAATTACCAACTTCAGTCATATCACATAATATTCGGAGTGACTCCATTCAATAGACACTGGAAATGATGAAAATTCCATAGAGTGATATATTTCCATGGCAACCTCGATGGCAACTAAATATTTGAACTAAATACAATAATAATATACGTACACATCGTTGAATACATACCAGTAATGTGGTAGGCACATATTATTATGAGTATGTTACGAATTCATTATTAATTTCATAAAATCGATTGCTGTTATTAAATTGGATAACATTTTGATTTCAAGCTTTGAAACCATGTTCATATTGAATCCTGGAAAATTCGGAATGAAACATTATACTTGGTTACTACCATAGCAACGAACTTCAAACATCGCTAGCTTTTGATATTTGTTGTGATTCAATTCATGATGAAATGGGAATCATCGAAATAATAATATACAGTCTGAAATTTGATCCAAGCTTTCAGGGAAGAGAAACTAGCGATATAAATACTGATCATTTTATACGCAAGGTTTTTCACATGCGTTAGAAATGTTTTATATACTTTTCGAATAAAAATCTGGGAATTTGGAACATATCATGTGAGTCAGAAACATCCTTATTTCAATACGAACACTCTGTATTCCATTATATTCTTGGGATCCACATATTATCATGGAGAAAATAGTTTGATATGTATTTCTCTGATCTGTTTCGATTTTGGAGAATTTTGAGTTTGCACTATCCGTGAAATTTCAGAAATTCATTCTTCTAAATTCCCACCAGTGCTTGTATACATGATGCTTGAAGTGAGAGTGGGAATTTTTCCAAAACTTGAAGTGTGATCAAAAAGGACTTGTTATTTGGTGGTTTTTGAAAGCCCCTAAAGAATTTCTTCTCGTGTAAATAAGGAAATAACTGAACGCACGACTGAATTCTGCTTCAAGGGTTACAGGGTCTCCTTTTATATACCTACCTTCTCAAACTCGAATTGAGACTAGTGAATTTCAAATTTGAATTGAACAGATCCAAATCGGTAAATAAATTCATAATGAGAATAAACACAATAAAATTGGTAAAAAACATATTCGAATTCAGAATGAACAGTTTCAATATTGTCTGTTGGTTAATCGAGGAGGTGGTACAGTCATTATTCCAGATTTTTTGGGATTGTCTTCCCAATATACAGGGGGTGTTGTTTGAAAATAAGTAGCGAGGGGTAACTTCCACAGGGCTGTCGAATGTAATATTCTTTCAGGTCACCTGCTTCAGTGGATTAAATCATACATAAGTAATAGATCCCAGGTTCTCAAAATCAACAATATTTCATCATCACCAGTCAGGGTCACCTCGGGAGTTCCGCAAGGGTCTCATTTGGGTCCCCTACTCTTCAATCTTTTTATACATGACATTGGTTCATGCTTTGAAAACTCACAGCATTCTATATATGCTGATGATCTTAAAATTTTTGAGTCAATATCTACCTTGACAGATAGCCAACTACTTCAACGTGATATAAATAATCTACAGAATCACTGTGTTACCAATTACTCATCCTTGAATGTGAAAAAATGTCATTACATCAGATTTTCCCGACTGCCTAACGAAATCAATTTTCTTATAATATTGACAACAAGTCATTATCCAAAGTAGAAGTCCTGAAAGACCTAGGTGTGATGATCGATTCAAAACTCACTTTTGAGGCACATATTGAGAAAATAGTGAAAAAAGCTCTCAGAAACCTGGGATTTATTTCAAGAATAACTAAATCATTTAAAAATCCAAAGTCGTTGTTAATATTATACAACTCTCTAGTTAGGAGCCACCTCGAGTTCGCATCGATGGTATGGAACTCCTACTATTATAAATACATTGAACGAGTAGAGAGAGTTCAAATGAAGTTTATGAATATACTGTTTTTCAAGTTCAAGAGACCTCAAACTCACTTATCATACGAGAGTCGCTTACAACATTTCAATCTCAGCAAACTTTCCTCTCGGAGAATTGTAAGCTACGTTATATTTCTTTTCAAAATTATCAGCAACAGAGTAGACAGTAGTTACATAGTCAACAGGCTCTCGTTCAATATACTCACACACGTTACCCGCTCACATAATTTGTTCTACCTACCAAATCATAAGACGAACTATGCAAGAAGTTCACCTCTATACATGGTACAAGATTTATATAACTCATATTTCAGCCACATCGATCTGTTCAATAGCACTTTACATAGAGTCAGGAAAGAATCTGGACAAGTTTTCGATTTGAATTGATTCATGACGGTATCCAAATTTTCAGTCCAATACTTTTTTGGTACTCTTTCGTTTTTTGATTTTTGTATTTTTGTTTATTTTTGGTGATGATTTTTAGGATATTATTTTAGTTTCTCTATATCAACTCACAAAGTGTACAATCTATCAAATCAGATGTGTAACTATAATTGGAGTTTCATTACTCTGTTGGGTAACCTATGTAAATTAAATAAATGAATAAATAAAAAAAGCAGATTTTTCTTGTCTCACTCATCTTGCTTGTGAACGATAACTTGGGACACCCAGTATACTATGAAACATGTGACTTCATTGTTCATTATGAATGCAGACCAGATAGGATTCAGACTCCATATTCACCTTAAAAGCAAAGTGAGAATTCCAAAACGATTTTCCTTTCGGAGAAGGCATAGCCAGAACATTAGCAGCCACCGTATCCAAATTCCGTTTCGACTTCCAGACTTTTTATGTATAGCAATAATGCACTATTCACATTCTCAACAAGAATTAATACTTATGCAGTTATGTCAAGGTCAAGTAGTTGTTAACATTGCTCAAAAAACATTTGGAGCGAAAGGACATTCATCCTTCCACCGGAATGGATCAAAGA